ACCTGCTTTGCAACTTCCAACTGACAACTTGGCTTTTTGGACCTTGGCTAGACTGAGAGACTGAGACGCGTTGCCCATCGTCAATATTGCGATTCGGTTGTAAAAAAAATGCGTTTTAATGCTTCAATAAAATAAAAAGTTTGCATTAAAAGCAAGCGAGCCAGGAGTAGAAAGGATCAGCAGAAGCTGGAGTAGCTGTAGTAGCTGGAAAAGCTGGAAAAGCTGAAGCAGCCCACCTCCATGCAAAACAATTAGCATAAAAAATAGACGATGCAGCTCACAAATAGTTCCGTCTACTTCGGCTAGCAAGTAGTTGCAGCAAGCTCTTAGGATTCCAGGAGAGTCGAGGCTTTATCCTAGTTACAAATTTGATGCGAACTTTAGAAGCATACTTATCGGCGCCACAAGTGACAAACTGCAGTGGACTGTGGAGTATGAGTCCCGCCATTGCAAGTCGCTGACACCGCCACCATTGCCCATCGTTGCAATGTGCATTTTGCATATTCGAGGCGAGGCAAAATTAATGTTTAATCAACAAAGTGGTAATATCCAACCACCCCAGCCCCAGCCCCAGCCTCAGCTCCAACCCGTCATCAGGCATGTGGAAAACTAGCGAAATTGCATCAAAGAAACGAAAATATTTGCAGTGCGTGGGCCGGGGAAAAAGGGAAATAAAAATTGAAATCGGATAATGCAAACAGCAGATTAAAAACCAGTCCAGTCCAGCCACCAGAGGAGAGGGTCCTACTCCCAGTAACCAGTTCTCAGTTCCCAACTACCAGTCTCGGATATCCCAAATGCCATGTCCGGGTAATGCTGATGCCGTGTTTGGGCCCGCTAATTGAAAGCCACTGCCACCTTTGCGCTTTGCAGCCAAAGACAAATATTGGATGGACCGCGGCTTTATGCATATTTAAAATCAATTAAGTCAATAAATAATAAGGACAACCTTAATGCGATTGCATATGAACGAAATGCGGCAAATGCCGCCTGTTTGCCTGTGCCATGCCCCTCGGCAGCCAGGGCTGCTGGCCAATCCGGGGCATTCTGTGTGAGGTCAAGATACGGGGCCAGCATCCATAGGATTTGGCAGCGACACGCTTGAAGAGCTCTCTGCTGCAAGCCACTTGGCACTTGGAGGGCCCAACGAAACAGGCCGGTGCACTCAACGATGAGTTGCAAATTGTTGCCGTTTATGTGCCTTGTAAAGAGAGCGCGATTGAAGGGTCGCACACAAAGCGGTCGCCGGAGCACGCCAGCCAATGCACTCGTCCACGAAATCTGGACACAAAGACCTCATCCCCAGCCAACATGGCAACATGGCTACATGGCTACAACATGACCAAGTGGAGCACACCGAAAACCTGAGCGGAGCCAGCGAGGCGAATTCAAATGAAACAATCGACTAAACGAGCTCCTGCCCCACTGAACGAGTCACCCAACCCAGCATCCAAGCATGAGAGTCAACCGAAAAAGGACCAAGAGGACGTTGTGGCACACGTTAAGGAAAGGAGCAAAAGGAGCTAGCTCTGCAAAAGGAGCAACATGCACAAATGTGGCACATACAAAAAGTGACTCCATTGGTGGCAAAAGCCAAAAGCAATCAGAGTGCGACGCCGGCCAAAAAGAATGCAACGGCGGAGATGGCGAAAGACAAGCAACAAACAAACGACTCCACCACGCACCACCCAGCTAGTGAGTGCCACACACACACACAAACATACACAAGCATACACACACATGCGGAGGCAATCAGAGAGTTTCATTCATGACGACGAAACTCGAAGCCCCAGTCCTCAGTCCTCAATCCTCAGCCCCATCTCCAGTCGACAGCCGCATGTCCTTGCCGGGGCCACGGCCCACTTCCACTTGCAGTCCCATTCCCAATCCCATTCCCACTTCCACTCACACACTCCCACTCCGCATCAACATCAACATCCGCATCCACAGCCGTAGCCGTAGTCGTGTGTGTGTGTGTGTGCATCTTTTTGCTTTCGTTTTAGAAAACTCACAGCTCGCACGACACTCAGCCAGCGAACCCAGCCAGACCAGACCAGACCGATCACGCCAAAAAGAAACTGCAACGAATCAAGGACGAATTTTTTGGCAGTTTTTTTCACTCCTCACACGGAGTGTGCCACATGTCCAAACCCCCTGCGCCAAACTCTTTTCGGTTTGGCTTTGTTTTCCGCCGACTCGACCCTGCTTCTGTTGCTCCTTTTTCCACACACACACACACACACTTACATATACACACACGTATAGACGATGCACACGGCAATTCTTTGGCGTTTTTTGTGCCGAGCCAGAGCCAGCACACGACTCTGGCTGCTCGGGTGGCTCGGCCTGGCCAAAAAGAAACCATAACGGAGGCGACCCAGATATCAGCAGCACTTACACAAAGTGTTGCCGGTGGCGGGAGACTCACCCATTCTCCGGCTGGCCATTGAATACACATTAGTGGAAACCCGCTGACACAGCCGTACTAAAAAGCAATGGAGGCCATAAGATGGGCTCAGCCTGGAGGGGGGGGAGATGCCTTCAGATCTCCAACCAAGATGGACACTTGAACTCTTCTCCGGCGTTGCTGGCGGAGGAGTACTATCAATCTGACACGATGGATCCTGCTGCTCATGCATAGGTTATGAGCCAGGATGGAGGCTGGAGACATGCAGAAGAAGAATACCCACAGCCATAGTCACAGTCGACAGGCACATCCGTATCCGGATCCAGGCTAAGCCGCCGTGCAGAACAAAGACGCCAACAAAGTCGAGGAGAAGCAAACACAAATCCCGGTTTGTAAGCCAATTTGCACTTAGGCTTATCTAATGTCATATCATTTGTATAATGCTCTGTTTGGCCTGATACTTGATGTCTACTGTATGTAGTCAATACTCTGCTCCCGATTCCAACTCAAACTCCGACTCCAAGTCCGACCCCGCAAAGCCACACACTGCCGCTGGCCCTGGCCCTCTCCATTCTGAGTGTATGGGCGTGTGCGCCTTATCCTGCGGGGTTCATTTCTAAGCTCATTTATGTTTATCACAAATGCGTGCCAAAGTGTGTCGTTATTCTTCCACCTCCCTACTCCACATACTCCACATTACTCTACTCCACCTCCAGTAACTTTCAGCCATCGCCATCGCCATCGCCAATGTCGATGTCGATGTCGATGTTGTTGTCAAAGTTGTTGGCGTGGCGCGAACAAAAACATTTCAAATATTCAAAAAAGCCACATCCACACACTTTGGCATAAGACATCCCATCCACCCATCTACCTATTCCATGCCACATCTCCCATCCTCCACACACACACCACACACACAAGAAATGGGAGTTGGGAGCTGTACTCAACTAGTCGGGACATGTACTGGCCATAGAAATTCATCTAACGGCTGTAACAGGTAATTGAACTTGGTTATATGGCCCTCGGAATGGCGTCGCGCTGCAAATGGAAATGTGGAAATGTGGAAATGCTCTGGCATTTCGCTGGGTTCGAAGGGCTCCAAGGGGTCGAAGGGTCGAAGGGCTCGGCTCGAAGGGTGGCTGGGTCGGGTAAATGGAAATGGAAATGGAATTGAATGACGCGCGCATCGTGTGCCAAATGTGACGCCGTCCTGGGCTCAGAGCTCAGAACTCAGCAGAAGAGCCAGAGCCCTTGGCAGTCAGTAGCAATGCGTGCGAACTATATAATGCGGGCATAAAAAGGATTTGCACAAGGAGCATGTGGCATGTGGCATTGGCACTCCCAGTAGCAATGGCAGTGGCAATGGCAAGGGGAAGTCAAATCCAAGACTATATGCTACATGAAAATTGCAAATTGTGCGCCATAGTTGGTTGGAAGGGCTGGGGTAGCGGGCTAAGGGGAAAACAGGGAAAGGGGCCAACTGTTGAACTGCTGAATAATTCATGGCCAACTGGAGATTTGTGCAGTGGCAAGATGATGTCTGCTAAGCGCGTTTGATGCCGATTTGTGGCACGCATAACTGTAAATCGCCGAAAAGCCCACAACAGGAACGATGATGCCACTGGTGCTTAGATTGGGCAGGGGAAACATGCTGCTTGCTGGGATTGATACCACAGCCACTGCCACTTCATGCCACCCTTCATGTACTGAAAAGGACACTCTGCTCTATTTGCCACTCTCGGCGAATTTCAAACTGTGCCACAACAGAACAGAACAGAACAGAGCAGAGCAGAACCGATCAAAACAAACTGCAAGAACCGAAGACAACAAGACCACGGCAACTGCCACAAAAACAATAGCTCCCGCCACCGTTGGCTGCACTTGCACTTCTTTTGCTTGCCGCACACACACACACACACACAAACAGAACCTGCCACCCACTCGCTTCAGGAATTCGCGGACACTTGCTGTCGACACTGGGCGCCTGGTGGCCATGTCCCCCACTCGCATATGAAATGCCAAACGGCCCTCTGGTCTGTAGGATGAGCGGGGTGCAACGAGGAGGAGCATCGGTTGCATGTGCTGCATGCCGACCCGACTTTGGCTTGGTCTTGTTGTCGTCCGCGATTGTGTTAGGGACTTCTTTCTTTTGTTGGCCCAGCCGGGCCGGTTGCCAACAGGTGGCAGTAGCTACTTCTGGACACATGCAGGCGGCGTGTTGGGCGAAACCACAGACCACGACCACATCCACATTGCCACATTGCCACACGAGCCACCCATCTACCCACACAGGCTGAAGGACGTTTGGCATGGCTGTGCGCTTTTCTTTCGTTTTGGCGTGCAACTTTTTGTGTGCACTTTGCCTGCTTCTTTTGCCGGCTGCCTCTGTGCACTTTCCGCTTTTTCTTTTGACGATGTGCACCGTACAGCACCCTGCCCTACCACCTGCAACCTGCCACCTGCTGCCACACACAAGGAGTATGCATGCATCACATGGAGAACAGTCTGTGCGGGTCGGAAGAGCCTTTGTTGGCCAATCTCCGCTTGTCGCCAAGCCATTTGCCAGTCGACCAAGACGTCGCTTTTTAGCGAATTTAAAGTTTAAGTATTTATTTAAGTTAGTTACTAATATTAAAGAAATCGTACTACGGGAATTTCTTGGTCGGAATTCGAGTGTCGTTGGATTTAAACTAAACTGCATTGCGGAAGCCAGCGATATCGCTCAGTTCCAGTGGCTTCCACTGGATGTCCACATGCTTGTGGATCCGCTCCTCCTCCTCGTCACAGCCTTCTGAGCAATTGGACTTCTTAAAATTATCAGCTGGGTCTGTGGTCGGGTCAAAGGTCAGGGATAAGGAGTCAAGTATAAAGTAGTATATTCAATCTAAACTTACCGTATTTGTGGTCGTGGTCCTGGTCGCAGGACTTCGGACAGAAGACGATTTTCAGATCGATGGGCTCGTACACTTTAACGATAAGCTGCGGCACCTTCTCGGTGGGATAGTCCTCGGGGCTGGACACTAGTGGATTGAAGGAACGGTTAACTTGGCTCACTGGGTTGCTTGCCGCTTCAGCGGCAATGGGTGTTATGTGGACTGTTTGGTTGCGGGCAGCCAGCAGCCAGGGCCTGCTGTTCACTGACAGCACTTCCTGGCGCACTGTGGCAGGGGCAGGGGCAGCTAATGCCAATGGCATCGGCATTGGCATTACAGATGAAACTATTGCCGATGCAGTTGGTAGTGTTTCTGGTGTTGTCGATGTGACTGTTACACGTTTTTCAGCCTCTCTTATTAGCTGACTGAGCGGGAAAACTCTTGGCTTTCTGTTTGGCTGTGTCGTTGATGGTTCTGTGGATGTTGATGCTGGTCTTGAAGTAGATGATTCGGTACTTGGTGTTGGTATCGTTTGTGTCTGCATGGTTGGACTTGCTGTTGGTGTGTGTGAAGTAGTTTGCCTTGAAGGATGCCTAACTCTGTCGTTGCTGCTTAGCGCCTGGTTCCTAATACTATTAGAAACTCTCGATGTTCTGTCTTCTCTGGAAAACTGACTCTCCTGGCTTTCAAGCCCGTTTGAGGCAGCTTTTAGATGCAATTTTCCCCCATCTTCAAATGCAATATCATTCGGAATGGCCTTCTGTACAGTCTGTATAGGTAGGACAGGCAGGACAACGTGCCGTTTGGCTGTGGCTGCTGGTGGCTTCTTGGCTACTGAGACTGTGCCTCGGTCTTTCTTTCCACTATCGAAAGGACTAGCTGGCTCATCTTCCATGTAGTCCTCGTCATCATCATAGTACTCCGAACTGAGGTGACTTGAATTTTTCGCAGCCACCATTACCGCTCGAGGAGGTGATGGCCTACTCGTAGTCGTTTCTGGCTTTGTGGTTGACGTCGTCGTACTTGAACTTGAAGTTGAGCTACTGCTTGTAGTGGAACTTGTACTGCTGCTTTGCGTCTGTGCAGCCTTAGTGGTCGACGTTGGTTGCTTCGCTTCCGTTCGAGTCAACCTCTCCTTCAGCAGACTCAGCAAAAACTCCTTTCTAGCTTCCAGGCTTTTGACTACGCCGTCTGGAATATCGTTGCCGTCGTTGGCATAGTCAGAATCACCAGAGCTGTCGCCGTATTCCAAGTCACTCGTCGTCGTATTTATGGGTTGAGCCATTGTGGAGGAAACCGCTTTGGGTTGAGTCGTTGTGGAGGAAACCGCTTTGGGTTGACTTGTCGAGAAACTAGTCACCCGCTCAGTGGTCGAAGACGGAGTCGGAGTCGCCGTTGTTGTGGACACAACCTTTGGCAGGGTTTTGGTCAGCACTTCATTTTCCTCGTCCGTATATTGCTCCGACGTTTCGCTGTCATAGTACTCAGAGTCCTCCGGCTCCTTCTTGGTGGTATTCAGGGCCACAAGTACCTTAGGCTGAAGGGAGCGCTTCTGGGTAGACGCCAGCTGTTGGATGGATAGCCGCAGGGAATGGGCAATGAAGGGCTTGGAAGTGGCCAAGTTGTGTTTAGCCATCTGGGCCAGGGTCACTCCATGCGTCTTCTGACTGGGCGGACGTTGACTAGAGGTATGCTCCTTGCTCGGCGGAGTGGTGGAGATGATCTTAAAGAGCTTATGTAGGAGATGGGCTGCCGCCAGCGTAGACATGGTCGGAGCCTTCGCTGTCGTTGCCTGACCTCTTTCCCCCTCCGCCGACGAAGGTGCATCATCCATATAGTCTAAATCATTCCGCCCTCCCAAACTGTTTCCACTTTCAGTGAACTCTGCTGTGGTTTGTGTGTGAATGAGTTGGTTTTGTTTTTGCGGTGACTGTAGTTGAAGTTTCTCCACTTGTCGGAGTTCTTGTGTGCATGCGGGATTTGTGTTTGTATCTGTAAGGTCAAGTGTCGTGATTAGGTTACCTGTTCGGCTTGTGTGGGGGAGTGTTCTCAATGGATTAATATTAACTACTTACCAGAGGTGGAATCGGGATCGGGACAGTGCGGACGCGTGGCAGTGGTCAGCTCTGTTGTGGAGGTGGAATTTTGCGAGGGAATAGTAGTCGGATTCCTCGTGGTCTCGATAGTTACGGCTGTCGTCGATTTTGGTGTGCTTGTAGTTGGTTTCGGTGAAGCCGTGGTTACTGTGGATTCTTTCGGAGTAGTTGTTTTGGGACTTTGAGTTGTGATTGTCACTGTAGTGGTCTTTCGAGTCGTTGTCGTTGTAATGGGTTTAGCAGTGGAAGTTGTTTGCTTTTCCGTTGTCGGAGTTACTTTTTCAGTAGTCGTTGTTGGCCTCTGACTACTCGTTGTAGGTTCCGGAGAAGTTTCTGTTGTTTTTTTGGAGGTAGTTGACGTTTTCAGAGTGGTCGTTGTTGGTTTCGGAGTCGTAGTTGTTGTCTTTTGCGACGTTGTAGGCTTAGGAGTGGTAGTTGTAGATTGAGGAGTAGTAGTTGAAGGTTTAGGAGTAGTAGTTGTAGATTTAGGAGGAGTAGTTGTTGGCTCTTGAGTTGTCGTAGATGTGGTAGTTACTTTCTGAGTAGTCGTGGTTGACTTTTCGGTACTTGTGGTGGGCTTAGGAGAACTCTCCGTTGTTTTCTTGGTTGTTGTACTAACTGTTGACGTTTTCGGAGTAGTAGTTGCGGGTTTTTCGGTACTTGTTGTGGGTTTAGAAGAACTTTCGGTTACCTTTTCAGTGGTAGTAGTAACGGTTGAAGGTTTCTGTGTAGTTGTTATTGGTTTTTGAGTCGAAGTTGTCACTGTAGTTGGCTTAGCAGTCGACGTTGTTGTAGGTTTAGGAGTAGTAGTTGTTGGCTCTTGAGTAGTAGTTGTTGTAGAGATTTTCCGGGTAGTCGTTGTTGGCTTTTCAGTACTGGCAGTAGGTTTAGGAGTACTTTCCGTTGTCTTAGCAGTGGTAGTAGTAACTGTTGACGTTTTCTGGGTAGTCGTTGTTGGTTTCTGTGTGGTAGTTGTCACTGTAGTTGGCTTAGGAGTCGACGCTGTTGTTTTCTGGGAAGTTGTTGTAGGCTTAGGAGTAGTTGTAGGTTCTTTCGTAGACGTTGTGCTGATTTTCTGAGTAGTCGCAGTTGGTTTTTCGGTACTAGTTGTAGATTTTGGAGAACTTTCCGTTACCTTTTCAGTGGTAGTAGTAACGGTTGAAGATTTCGGAGTGGTGGTGGTTGGTTCTTTAGAGGTCGTAGTTATTGTAGAGATTTTCTTGGTAGTCGTTGTGGGTTCTTCTGTACTGGTAGTGGGTTTAGGTGAACTCTCCGTTGTTTTCTTGGTGGTAGTAGTAACCGTTGACGTTTTCCGAGTAGTAGTTGTCACTGTAGTTGGCTTAGGAGTTGACGTAGTTGTTGGCTTAGGCGTAGTAAATGTAGTTGTAGTTACTGTAGAGGTTTTCTGAGAAGTTGAAGTTGGCTTTTCGGTACTAGTTGTAGGTTTGGGTGTCTTTTCAGTTGTTTTCTTGGTTGTAGTAGTAATTGTTGTGGTTTTCGGAGTAGTCGTACTAGGTTCATGAGTTGTTTTAAGAGTTGTCGTGGTTGGTTTTTCAGAACTCTTTGTCGAAGTAGGAGCATTCGTCGTTGTCTTTTCGGTGGTCTTAGTCACTGTTGAGGTTTTCTGAGTAGTTGTTGTTGGTTTTTGGGTAGTTTTAGTCGTAGTCGGTGTTGTCTTCTGGCTCGTTGTTGTAGGTTTAGGAGTAGTAGTTGTAAGTTTGTGAGTGGTTGTAGTCTCCGTTGAAGTTTTACGAGTGGTCGTTGTTGGTTTTTGGGTAGTAGTAGTCTTCGGAGTCGTTGTAGTAGTAGGTTTATGTGTAGTGGTAGTTGGTTTCTCAGTGGTTGTAGTCTTTACTGGTTTTTCAGTAGTTGTTTTCAGAGTCGTTGGCTTAGGAGTAACCGTTGCCTTCTTTGTGGTTGTAGTTACTGGCGAGGATTCATGAGTCGTCGTGCTACGTTTCTTAGTGGTTGATGTTACTTCTGTAGTTTTCGGTTTCGGTGTAGTTGCCTTTTCTGTAGTAGTAGTCTTCACTGTTGTCGCTTTAGAAGTTGTAGTTGGCTTGGGGGTAGAACTAGCCGTTGGTAACGTGGGGCATGTCGGAACTGTTGGCTTGACCGTAGTAGTAGTGGTCGTAGTAGGCAGAATCACAATATTTTCCGACAGATGCATTCCATTTAAGGGAAATTTCGATTTCGGAGCCTCAGTAACTTCCTCCTTAGCCTTGGTTGCATAGGTGTACCTCTTGTATTGGTATTTGGTGGTCTCCTTTGAAGGCTCAGCCTTGGTACTTGTAGTCGCTGGTGTAGTGGGCAGAATGACAACGTTCTCCGACAGCTTGAACTTAGGCGTCTCATCCTCTTTCTCCACCTTCAGGCTCTCTGCAGACTGTTTCTTAACGTCATGATGAGAAGAGGGCTCATATGAGTGGTAAGATGGATACGAGGGGTAATATTTATAGGCTGTTGTCCTCTCCGATGTGGTTGCGGCTGTCGTCTGCGTGGGCAGAATGACAACATTCAGCGAAGGCCTTTCAAAGCCATTTGCCACCTGTACCTTCTCGGACCTTAGAGCTGGCTCTTCCGTGGTCACCGTGTCATAGTCGTCCTCCTCGAAGAGCGGTGCAGATTGGTAGGGCGGGTAGTAGGGCTGTGGAGCATAGGGTATCTGCACGGGAGCCGGGGCAAGGTCGTAGCAGTCAACCTCGCTCCGGGGACGACACAGCTTCCGCTTCTCGTCGAAGCTATTGCTGCCGGGGCACTTGAAGCGCGTCTGCAGATAGGTACCGCTTTCCTTCAATCGGCATGTATAGTAGAGGGCGCAGTCCGTAGGCGAGCGGAAGGTGCCCTCCTCGGCGCAATTGGGAAACTTGAGCTCGCAGTTCTGCGGGATGTAACTGCCACTGTCCGATATCTCCGTCGAAGGGCACTGGTCACCGGGCAGGCATTTGCGTTCCACCGGCGAGAAGATGGTTCCAGCGGGGCAGGCGAAAAGCCAAGGCTCTGTCCGGTTTTTATCGCATCTGTAATACACCTTGCAGTCGTGGGGGTGAGCGAAGCGGCCCTCCTTCTCGCACTGCGGCGGCCTGTGGTCCGGTCTGGGCTGTGGAATGTGATGCACGCAGCGTCCGCTGCTCGAATTGAAGCTCTGAAAGAAGAAAATAGCAAGTTAAATGGCTGTCGGGATGATGGATCTTTTAAGACTCACCTCGAGGTCGCGGCACTTGCTGAAGATGACGCAGTTGGGCTTACAAACGTAGTAGTACTGCTGCTGATCCGGATGGGGCTTGATGCCAATGTAGTTCCGAGAGCAACGGTTATTCTGCAATCCAAAGATTAGAAAAATGTTAGAAAACGTAAAGACATTCAGCTGGTTGTAATCCTACAGCAGGACTTTTCACTCACATAGTCGAATCGCACAGGATATCCACCGCCGGGATAGCTCTTGTAGACACCGAAAACATTGTCGTAGAAGGGTCCGTAAACTGGTGGTGGTGGCGCCTGGTAACCATAGCCGTAGGGCGGGTAAGCATAGGGCGGCTGTCCGTAGTAGCCGGCGGGCACCACGGGCGGATATGCACTTTGCAGTTGGCGCACCGAACGACTGGTCGCCATAGAGAGCAAGGCCAGAAGGCCCAGCAGCGTCGACCAAAGGCAGTGCGTCATGGTGGGGCACTCTACTTCAAATGGCTTGGCTAAAAAGATTCTCTCGTCGTGATCCTGTGCTCATCTGATGGTGAGGCTAATATGCTAGTATCCTTATTGTTTTGAGAAACCTTGGAACCTGCGACCGCGGTCAGCTCTAGAGTGGCAGTGGTGACTTAGACCGGGGCAGACGCGCTTAAAAGGTCGCTGGGTGCGCTCGCTTCCGAGAACGTTGCATAACTCGAATGCCGATTGACCGCCGCGTGATTTAAGTACGGAGATGTTTGCCGCAGCCCCAAAGAGACCAAAACAATTCTTGGCTAATAGCCAGCACTCCGGCCGAGTGCATCGAGTTGAGAGGGCCCAGAGTACTCTCTCCCCACGTGATCGCAGACCGGAAGAGAGTCTTCGAGCTGTAGAAGCGCGGGTAGCTGCATCACGGCCGTGCCCGCCGCGAGATGCATGACTAAAGCCAGCTTAGGGGGCCGGAGAGCGACGTGCTTTACTTCCGCACCGGAGATGCTTTCCCGCTCCATTCGCTCCAATCATTATGAGTAATCTCCGATCCGCCAGCCAGCTGGCTGCCATCTCCAGTCCAGACTATCAGACGTGATCAATGGATATGGCCAATGCGGAACAGATTCCTGCAACGATTAAGAGACACTTTTTAAGTTCGCACGCAGTTTTGATGGAATCTGAGGGTGCAAGGTCATGTAACCGAAACCCAAATTTGGGCATTTTTGTCTTTTTACGATTCTTACACGTACGACGGTGGGAGTTACGCATCCAAAAATCCAAAATTCGTGGCTTGCTGGTGCGTCATACAACACGTTCGTAGCTTTGGACGTAAAGACACGAGCCTAAGACCCAATATCGGGCACGTTTCCAGCCATTTAGGAGACAGGAAGTCGCGGAATTTTCTTTGCGTAATAAGGGAAAATATGTTGAAGAATTTTGAATTTCATAATAACATGGCTAAGTTGTAAGCAATCTGGTAATCGAATTTACACTACTTAGCCCATCGGATTCGTGCCGATGTATATACGGACTTCAGAGTTAAGATCGGAGAAGTAAGGTCATGCCTCATGCGTTACAGAGATTAAAACGCACTTAAAAAAATGAAGAAAAAACATGTTTTAAGTCTCTAGCTTCCCCTTCGGACATGATTTTTTCCGTAAGCATGTGGATTCTTCGACTCCGATACGGGTAAACTGCATTTCCGGCTCTGAGCCTCAGATAATAACCACTGGAGCTGATATCGATTCCGGATCCCATCACCTGAGCTACGTTTCGAAAGACAGCAACTCCCTATCTGGAGCACTTGGCTAGGCGGCACTGGGCATTCAAGCTACGTGATTGTCCAATAGGCGCAGGCCCCTAAGATTGCCATAAAGTTGACTGGAGCCACCAGAGCAATCTCCGTGTCATCAGTGTTGGACAAGCTAGACATCAGCCAAGTGAATTCTTGGGATGCGAACACGTCTCATTATGAGATAATGCAGACAGCAGACTGCTGTCTGAATAGAAAGCAATGGAAAAGTATAGAGATATGCAAAGATTGCAATGCCAAAGTAGAATGGCTGATGGAATGTGCCCAAAGAGATTGCATTCAGGGGAATCTTCTCACGACTCAGAAGATAGTTTGTAGTTTCATTGATGGGGTTAGTTTATATAGTTTTTTAGTAACAATTAATCATCTATTCTATCTATCATTCTTAGTCTTAAATCATAAAGTTAAGCATAAATAACTACGTCAAGTACAGTAAGCCGCCCAGCTAAGCTCAGGTCCAACAATCTTCGACGGAATGTACAGAAGAATGCATGACGAAGTCGCAGAAGAGAGCAGCTACGCTTCATTGATCGTTTTGGTCGACTCTTCTACTGCAAACTACAACGAAAGCCGGCAAAACAAAACAACAAAGAACGAGAACTCTCCACTGCTGGTTTGAGACTCCGCTATCGATCGAAACTGAATTTTCAGCCCTCGTCGTCTCCAGTGGGGGTTTGTTGCTCCACTAACGATCGCGAAAGCCAAGACCCCCACCAAAAATAAAGAGCTTTTAGCTCTAATATGAGCACGGCGGGGGGGGCAAAAGCATGGCCAAGTCAGAGATCCTGGTATGTTTAGGGGGGGCATCCTAGAGCTAGCTCACGAAATCTCTTAAATGAGAAACTATTCAAGAAGAGCGGCGCGTGTCAAAGAGAAGCGCGCCCTCCTGCTGGTACCCCTTGCTGGGGAAACCATCCAAGAAAAATAAAAATCCGCAAGCAACAGAAAAGAGAAATAGTTAAGAAAAGTTTGCTGCCGGCAGAGGAAACAAGTAAAGTAGCAGCCAAAAAGACGAAAAATGATTCCGAAAAAGGCGGCTGGTGGGGTGTAGAGGGTGGTGGGGGGAAAATCCGGCGAGGCGACCAAAATAAACAGTAGCAGCAACGGCAGACCAGTGGCAGCGCTGCCAAGGCAAGGCTCGAATCAGGGGCAAAAAAAAAAAAGAAAAAGAAACCAACAACAAATAAAGAAAAAACTAAAGGAAAAGTGAATAAAAAATGGTGAAGAAAACGAGACGAAATGAGCCTGGCGTGCATTGGTATTGGTATTGGTATTTCGCTGCCGGCGTCGAAGTCAGCAGCGGCGCTGGCGTTATCGTGTAGGTGTGTGGGTGTATAGATGCGTGCGTGTGTGTGTGTGTGTGGGTGAGAGCGTAAGGCTCTCTTCATGTTTCCATGTCCCCATGTGGCCAAGACTTTCACTCTCGTTCGGCCGTCGTCGTTTTTCCTTCAGCTAACGCCATCGACGCCGGCAGCGACGTCAGGTTTTTCTTTTCTGCTCCTGCCATGGTGAGGGGGGTTTGAGGTGGAAAAAATGGGTGGTGGAACCCATCAAGAAGTGCTCCCAAGCAAGCGCTAGAAAAAAGCATACGAAAGTGCTCAAACTGATAAATTTCCACGGCAAAAGGCATCCCGAAAGAAAAAAAATCAGGCAAACGGTTTCAAGGCTGCTGCCTCACTAACGGACGGTCAAAGGTAACAGGTGGAGGAGTACAAGAGTGTGGGGCACCGAACACGACGACCTTGAGCGCCCAGCCTGGAGTTGACTGATGGCAGACGTCATTCTCGGAATGGTAACACAAGCGGAGCCCGTTCTAATTACACCAACAGCTGTGGCAGCAAACCACCTGTAGGCCAGTGTCCAGCGTGAGGTTGGTGCTCCACATGGGCGAGGATTAGACAGGGCGGTGGGTGGTATTACCCACACACAATACCATGCACATACACACAAAGCCTCTCTCGGTTTTTATTCTTTGCCGCTGCTGTGTCTCTACCAGAAGGATTTTCTCGCGTTAGCTTTCTCTTTTTGCTTGCTTCTATCCCGGCGAGAAGCGAGAAGCAAGGAGCTCTTCTCAACAGGTTGCAACAGGCTACGTTTGTGTGTATGTGTGTGTGTGGGTGTGTGAGGGGGGTGAGATGTCCTTGCTTGAAGGCGACTTCATGGGGCTATGCCGTGTGACCTTCAGCACCGGGCTAAGGCTAAGCGCTGCCATGGCAGCAGTCAAGTCACAGTCACAGTCACAGACTCCGACACCCTACTCGCCTTTTGCTGTAATCCTGGCAACCAGACATGTGTGTGTGCGTGGGCGCGTGTCCTAGCCGAGGATGTGAATGTCCCTGTCGCTGTCACCGTCACCATCACACCCCGAACTCCGCCCTGGCTGCTGCCTGTTGAACATGTTCCCCAGGCTCAAGATGCTCTCAGAAACGGGCTAGGAACCGCTCGGATAGCGTCCAACCGATAGCCGACCGATTAAACGTGTCCTGATTTATGGCCCCTATCGGTCATCGAGGCAGCCCAGCCTGGCAGCAGCCACGACCTGCGGTTGATGTGTTAATCGGCACTCAGGGCGGAGTTGTAGTCAGTTCGGATCCTGCTGACAGGGGCCCACTGTAAACCTGTTCTGGCCAGCGACTGCATTCCCCATCCCGGCGAGAAGTGCATGGTCGGTCCAGTCGGTCCGAGCAGTCGGGCAGGATTTGAAAAAGCAACGCATTAGCAGAGACACGTCAAGCGAACCAGAAACTGGGCCCAAAAGCGAAACTGAAGCCGCAGAAAACGGGGGCAAGGCAATGCTTATGAGAAGGTTAAAGGGAAGGGAGAGGAGAGGAGAGGGGCGCCTTACGAAGAGCCAGTATTGAATTGCAGCGACCTACATAGAAAGCGGCGAGGATTGAGAGCCAGCCAGCGAGATGCTTTAGTCGGGTTGGCCTGGCTCAAAAGTGCACTTTGAGATCGGGACCGCTTTTGCCACTTTCCCGCCAACCGCGCTCGTCCATCGCTCACCGCTGCACATGTGCCTGCAACGTGGCCAGAGCCTTGGATCTGGACACAAATGTTACGCTCTGCACTCAAAATGGCAATGGCAATGGCAAACGCAGCGCGACGCGGAACTAACAAAACTCGTTCCGCGGACCATTCGCTCTCCTTGATTTGGCAAACCGGTTGCTTGTCCCAGCGATGGATCAGATCAGGAGAGTGTGTGTGTGTGTGTGTGGTGCGGCTAGCATTTGATTGAAGTCCCAGTGGCCGAAAGCCCAAAATCAAAAGAGAGAGATGAAGCAGCAGCAGCAGCAGCGACAGGGGAAAGCGTTGCAAGGAACCCCCCCCGGTGACCACTTTGGGGAATTTGCCAACAGACAAAGTTTTCTACTCGAAAATCAAATTAAGTTCCCCAACCACGGCGGCGAAATTGACTGAGAAATTGCTCTCAAAAACATCCAAAACACACACATGCATGACCAATGATACGACCACTAAGCCAAGGACCCAAGTCCTTGGTCCTTGTGTGCTTTACTCCGCCAGCGCACCCTTGAGTGTTTATCATGTAAAACACCAAGAAAACATGTCAAACATGCCAAATATGCATGACCTACAAATTATGCGAATGCGACACCCCGCACAAGCACACTCACACGCTGGCAGGTCAGGGGATAACCAGAAATCTGGGATTACTCGAAGCAGAGACAACAGTAAGTCGTGGTCCTCGGCTACTACTCCTCCTCCTCCTCCTCCTCCTCCTAGCCATCATGCTCAACCCTCACCAAATCACCAAAACCAAATCAGGGTGAAGTCAAGATGCCCGGCAAAGAAAATCGGGGGGGCGGCTCTCTCCCCTTGGCCAGTCAAGAACCCAAAATTCAGGCCCAAAGCCAGACAGACAGACACAGGAAAAGCCTTCTTGACCCGGCCCGGAGCGTGTGAATCACTTTGCGGTCGGTCGTGTGTGAGCGTGTGTACTGTTGCGGGTGTCCTGAATGTCCCGAATGTATCCTGGGGGCCATATGCGAGCATTCAAATTAAGCAATAACACAACACAAGACCGAACAAGTTTATTAAATAAGTCTTAGCCATTTCGGTTGGCCGAAACAGCAGCTCTACCAGCTCACCCAGCTCTGAATCCCAGACAAACGAAACGGAACGTCAAAGGAAGTCATAATTGCAAATTACACACATAATCATGGGAAGGGCCAAAGTCAGAAGTCAGTGTGAAAAACAACCACACACACACACATGCAGAGTGAAAGGGGGAAGTGTGTGGATGTTGTATGTGGCACACTTAAGCAGCTTTCCTTCCCAAGACAGCCCACACAT